AGAGAGAGAGAGAGAGAGTTAATCACAACCAATTAAATAAACAAATTCAACTATTAATACCTAAATTCAGTTTGAATACTGAATTGGTGTTTATATCTCTGATCACGACTTTATATCCCGACACAACCTTTAATTTGCATTAAATTTAATTATAATTACTTGTCATTTATTAGTATAATTCAATGATATATACCTTCATTATCTGGCCATTCAATTGTCTATTCATTTCGCACACGTGACTGACATTTGTCACCACATTTGGTGCCATTATTAGTCAACGGCTTTCCCGTCCCGTTATTATTATTTTTTGTCACTTTAATTGTAATTAAAACTATCAATCGATTTATAGTTTATATTACTTTAAAAGTAAACATTTAGTTCACAACAATCAGTCAGTATTACAATTGGTGTACAATTGGTGTACAATTGTGTGACTTTAGGTATAATTCAAACAATTAAACCAAACAAAACACACATTTAATGTTCAATTAATTATTACAAAATTTAGTTGTAATTAAAGCTTTCAATCGATTTAAAGCTTATATTACGTAAAGTTTCACAACTAATCACACAATCAATCAATAAATCACTGATTCAGTCAAACAATGCGTGCATTCATTGAATGCATTGCTATTTTGGGTAAAAAATAAATACAAATTAATTAATTTTATAAAATTTCAATTAAATATAATTATATAACTTACCATCACTTTAGCCACGGGTTTATTAGTTAGTTGTTTATTATAATTGCGTTTATTTGACTCAAAAACACAATTAATTAGTGATTTAAAAGAGACTTAAATTTTTGTTGTATTAAAACCAAAATCACTTCATTATAACGAGTCGTTAAGCAATGCTTTACTATTGAATGCTTTTGCGCTCAAACCATAGCAACCAGTGATGGCATGACTTTCACAGCGCATTAGAGGTCACGCAAAGCACGCAAGGGTTCGCACATAAAGTATGTTTGCAATTAGTGTAGAGTTATGTCAAAATCACGACAAAATTATTAAATTTGATTAAATTATTACAATTATAATTAATTTTGTTATTTTTTCAACAATTAGTATTATAACTGTCGCCAAATAAACAGCAACTGCTAACAGTGAAGCATTTACTTTCAAAACTCATTCAATAATAACGTTAACAATAATATAACAATTGTTTTGATGAGCGGTCTGTCAGCCAATCGGCGATCGCATACAACGACCCCTTTTGTTGATACCGTTTGCGAACCACTCTTTCGGCTCAAGACATGGCTTCCATCGCGAGTGACACTCATTTCAATGACTTGAGTGACGACAACATGTTTTCGGTAATGTCTTTGGTTTGTTTGTGAGTCATATGCCTAACCATACAAATGGTTTTTCTCATGTCTTTAGTTCATTCATGAGATAATTGACGAAATGTGTGGCATTTGTCCGCTCAAGACATCCAAATACGTGCCAACCATTTGGTCCGTTGAAACACAATTCACTCATTTTGTCGATTATATGAAGACATTGTTATCGCAATTGATTGACATTCGGGCCAAACATGAGGTACAGCTGTGAGACAATTGGCGCATCATTTGATCCATTAATGAATAAAACTTTTTGATTGCCAGTCATTGCGAGAAATGCCTGAAAACACGCAGAAAGTAGTGTTGGAGTGCATCGAAGTCCGGAGGCCTGAACTCCGCAAAGCCATCATCAATGAGACCATTGGTCACAACAATCCAGTGTTGAAAGACTTCTTCTGGAAACTCAACGTTGTCTTAGACTCCGATAAAATGTGTGAACTCAACGAACCTCTCGTTAATCTCGACTTAAATATCAACGAAGACACGAATGGCACCAAAAATGAAACAATTGTGTCAATGGAGTTGAATAGAGAAGAGTTGATGAAAGTTATCGATACTCTGGAAGAAGGACAGCAAGCTTTGAGACAATCCTATTGACAATACTTATGTCTCAATACAGTATTCATGGAAAATATACTTTTAAATATGTGTTGATTAAAATGTTTATATTTAATTTAATATACATTGGATTTACAGTTAAAATAAAATGAGTTATTTATTTATAATAAATCAAAAATAAAATAAAAAGATATATAATATTTCAGTGAATTGCGAGCCCTTTAAAGCCCTGAAAAATAGGATACAAAATATAACGAGAATTACCGCTAAAAATATATATCAAACCGAACTGTCATTTGCATTGATTTTTGCATTTCAGACACTGTTTTGCATTTTATATAAAACGTATAAAAAATTTATTACAAAATAGAGCTCAACCTCTAAACTGATTATAAGTTGGTCTTAGCGTTAGTCAAGTGCTCTCTGGCGATGATAATCCTCTGGATCTGAGCGGTTCCCTCATAGATCTGGAATATCTTCGCGTCTCTCATAAGCTTCTCGACGGGATATTCAGAGTTAAAGCCGGCGCCGCCGAAGATCTGGACGGCATCGGCCGCCGACTTATTGGCCACATCGCCGGCCAAACACTTGGCGATCGACGACCAGTACGTGTTTCGCCTCCCGTTGTCGAACTCCCAGGCGCTCCGTATGTATGCCATGCGAGACGTCTCGATGCCTATCGCCATATCGGCTAACATGAACTGAATTGCCTGATGGCTGGCAATGGGAGCGCCGAATGTCTTGCGTTCGAACGCGTATTTCGTCGCCTCGTCTAACGCCCGCTGAGCCAAACCCACGGCTCCCGCGGCCACCGGAGGTCGGGTCAGATCGAACGCTCCCATCGCTATCTTAAAGCCCTTCCCTTCGCCGATCAGCACATTCTTCTTAGGGATCACTGCGTTCTCGAATGTGATTCCTCTGGTGTCGGAACACCTCTGACCCAAATTCCATTCCTTGCGCCCAATGATAACGCCGGGAGTGTCTCCGTCCACAATGAAACCGGTGAACGCTTCGCTGGCCTTGGCTTTGGGGTCGGGGTTAGTGCGGGCCAACACGAACATCCAATTCGCGTGACCGGCGTTCGTAATCCACATCTTCTGGCCGTTGATAACCCAATCGCCGTCTTTATTCTTCTCGCCTTTAGTGCGGACACCGTTCACATCGCTTCCAGCGCCCGGTTCTGTCACCGCATAGCAACACATGACCGGTTCGGCCGCACATCTGCCCAAATACTCCTTCTTCTGCTCTTCGCTGCCGAACAGAAGGACCGGCGCCTGACCTAAAGCGTTGGCTGTCATCGCTGTGCCGATTCCGGTGCAGCCGTAGGCGACCGTCTCGTCGATGAGACAGTGGTCCACAAGAGACAAACCCTGTCCGCCGTACTCTTCGGGAATACTAGTAGTCATTAGACCCAAAGCGTGAGCTTTTTTGATAATATCGATGGGATATTCGCCGGTCTCGTCGTGATG